AGCCTGTCATGAGTAAGTAGTTGACAAGATTTCTTAAAGAATGAGTTGAAACTTGAATAATTGTACGTTAGGGTTAAAGAAAAGAAAGAGAAGAAGAAGAAAGAAAGTGTGAAACAACGTTGTGTGTTGCCACCACCCTACCTATTTATATTCGATTGATATTGAAGACAATTACAAGAAAGTAGAATAATAGGAAAGTAACATATAGGAAAATAACATAATAGGAAAGTAACACTCTAACAAAATGAAGCCCCATGAAGCATATAGTAGTCGAAAATATGGTTGTAATAAATTAAAAAACCATGGCTTTCTCATGCCAATAAGTTTCATGGATGGAGATGGATTAGAAGTCTGGTTTCCAGAAGATTTATGATCAGGAAACCTCCTATCAAATTGTCATCCCCTTGAAAGATCTTTATTGTTTCCTTCATATCTAAACAAATCGTGCTCGTATTTTAAGAGGCTCTGTTGTTCCAAAGCGGGAATATCTCAGTCTTTAGGTCTAAGCAACTCATCATATAGAGGGTTCAGCCCTACCCCATCAAATACCACTCTCTTGACATTTCATTATATCAATATCTTGCTCTTTCCTCATCGACACTAAAGAACATAAGCATTTATGCAGATTATACCCACAAGCCTACATGCTGCCTCTACTACAACAAACCTACCCTGATGGTGACTTCTTTTGGAGATGATCAATTTACATCACATGCAACGGCGGTGGCCAATTTATGGACCCTGCCTCTGGTTAAGAGACTTGAACATCAAAAATTACAATCTTTTTATGTCCTCTTTTGACAATAAAAGCCAACTCAGTTAGGATGCATAACTAGAGATGATGAAAGCATTATAATATGAATTTAATCTATGCAAGTTCACAGAGGTTTTGCCATGGAATATTGAAAATAGAGAGTTTATCATTTTAGGAAAAACTATAATGGTTACATATGAAAAGGAGGGTGAGTCCCCAGTCTCTTTGATGGTTCCATTCAAAGTGGTAGACCTTTACATTGGAATGCTATGTGAAAAAAGAATGTGCCTATTTAAATTCAACAAGATGCTTAACAAACCCCAAAAGATGTTACAGAATTAAGTTTGCCTCCACTGTGGGCAAGTGGCAATCATCTACGTGATGAGCAATCTTATCTATCACCATTTTTTTTCACCATTCTGGATCAACACTTACTGGCACGATCTTAAATGTTAGTTCAACCTTTGTTCATTATCCTTCCAAAACAATGAACAAATCAAATCTATCCACTTTTTTAGGGAAATGGTGATAAAAGGTGGTAAGAGATATCATTTTTATCAAGTGATTTGGCTACAATGAAAAAGTGGAACTTAACACCAAAGAATTCTGGTACAGCAACAATCTTTAATAGCAACACAATACCTGATGCTTTTCTTTCCATCTTGGGAAAAAATTAGTCCCCAGAAGTTCGAACAAATGATCCCGCATCTCATCATTTGTCACCAGCAAGCACTTGCAACTAACAGCTGCATATAACCAGTACCTGGGAATAACATGGGAACATGGTAGGCCATAAGTGAACCTTGAAAGTCATAATCAGGTAACTACAAATAGGAGGAAAGTTTAAGTACGTAGATTTCTAGCTAACTCCTCTTCCTACTGTTCTTGATTAGCTCCAGCTTAGTTTCGTTAAGAATTCTGGACCAGATCCATTTTAAGACCAGCTCCTGATGTGAAACAACAAAGCTCTCTTAACCACAAAATAGAGCACCATCTTACAGTCCTTGGCAATTATATATTGTACCACCCTATACCTCTGCTGGGAACTTTTGAGTCAAAAAGGACAGTTTATCTGTTCTGTTTTCAAGTTTAGAATGTCAACTAGAATCTAGAGATACAAGCATGAGCCTCCTGCTTTTCAACTGATACCAAAGATGCTACTTTTTCCTCAAAAGATTTCAAGTGCCAAACCCAGATAAGACCTGTTTTTTCTTTGGCCTGAAATCCCAACCATGCCAGCGCCCAATTTGATGAAGTTAAACCGAGTACACTCGATATTTAGTGGCTAAAAATTAATTCAATTACTCCAAGCTCAGTCCGTTTGAGTGTGTAATTGCTAGTTAACACTAATCAGGGACATGCGTGCCAAACCTTCTGAGTATTAGAACCGGTGTGGCACTTTAGGATTTTCAGAAATGTCTAATGAGTCCCAAAGGCAACAGCAAAGGCAATTTTAGGAAGGAAAACAAAAATTTCACTGTATCTACTGTTATAACAATCACTATTGCATTTAATTGAGTCTAAAACCTTAGAAAGTTGGTGGAGAGATATATAACTTTGATTTCCCCACATCAGGACATCCTGCAAGTCAGAGGCATTGGTCTGATTTTTCCTCAGAGTGGGCTCATTTCAATTTCAGTATGAATAGTAATATATAATTAAAAATCTACAGATATCAATTTCTGATGATATACCATCACAAGTCACAACATTTAATTCCTATAAGTAAACAAAATCAATGGAAATTCTCAAATTGGAAGTAAGATTAAATTTTTAATTGATTATGTCTTTTCTACGAGATTTAGAATTTTTATGATTGTCTGAGTGAGGTTTTAGTCACAAAGTTAAGATTGTGATATTGAATCGAGGAGAATTATTACAAAACGATTATTTCAGACATGATTGGAAAAACTTATTTGATGGATGAAGAATACATAACAGATACAAGAGGCAGTTGAAAAGTCAATGCACATAATCAGACATGATTAGAACATCCATTATGTTGTCAAATTACAAAACTCCAACCTTAAGTATGGGCCTTTGTGTTGTATTCCATGTTTTAATAGGGAAATAGACCCCACTAGTAAAAGTGGAGACACATTGAGGCAAGGAGGCCTCTGGCCCACCCTCCAATTTTTTAAAAATTGCACATATATAATATATCCTACATCTTTCATATAGCCTCATGCTTAAATGGCTATGTACACATTACTGACAAGTTCAGTTTTATTGGACAGTTTGGAGGTTATTTTGTGAAATTAAAAAAAAAAATTACAGGACATATTGTTATTGAATATACATTACGATTATTGTGTAACAAAATATTATCATTTTGTAAGTACATAAAACATAGGGTCATAAAATAAACGACAAAAAATTTAATATGATGAGATTATTTTCACTCGATGAAATCCAAAGGGTGTTTGAGAGAGTTAGAAAGAAACAGAGAGAGAGAAGAAAAAGCAACCAAAGATTTCTTCATTCAATAACTATTAGCCTTTATACCTATGATTTTCCCCTTATTCTTCTAATATGAACCGTGATTGATCTGTAATGGCATGTTTAATATTTCTTATTGTGTTAAAGCTTTCTGCAATTATGGATTTTTTTGGTTTATTCTTAATTTGAACATGAAATTATTTGCAATTGGCTGACAATTGGTCCTTATTGTCCTACGATAAAGACGTATGTAAATTAATATACCTATATATGTTATATTAACTTTATCAATTAAGAAAAATTAATTCAAGCTTCTAGTTAAGTTGCCCACCCATAACTGAATTCTTGTCTCCGCCCCTCATCACTGGAGCCAATGTGGTATAGCCTATGCTGCAAGTCAGTGGACGTGATCATTGTTGGCAGTTTGTTACATTTCCACCACAATTGTCAGTCTACTTGGCCATAATGACATGGTAAATTTTCTGCATCCCCAAACTGCCTAATAAAATCTACAAATCAGCCAACAGTGGACATGTTTTCAACCTCAAAACAAGGTCATATGCAAGTAATGAAATTGACAGGAAAGTAAACAATAATTTGGAAACTCCTCCAAGTTACAATGATGGTCAACACTGCATATCAATTTCCTAGGTAAGGATCCATAGCTATTGATGTCATTACCCAAAGCTCAACTCAAGCATGGAAGACAGGTACTGCTATCTTGGAACACTAGGTCAGACAATCACTTTTTATATTGTGTGTCAAAATCAGACCAATATCCACCAAAAATTACACACAAAAATATATCCATCTAATTGGGCAATGGTATGCAGTAGTTGCAATTGGATATCAAACAATACAAGGAATGCATCTTTCAAAATGAAACAAAAAGAAATATCTAGAAGAACTTCGGACATTCCTTTCAGCTGTAACAATGATCTGCTAAACAAAAGCCTAACTAGAATCAAACTTCATAAATTATCTAAAGGAATTGCAATGGGACAAATAGGGTAAACTCATCTCTCAGGAGAAAAGAGAACTTACCAATCATCATTAGAACCCGGAGGAGTAGCATAAAGAGCACCAGCCTTTTTCCAACTCTCTAATAACTTCTTGTTATTAAGCTTCTGAGCAGGACCACCAGTTACACGGCTTTTATGCAAAACAACAAGTGGTAACCTCTTTGATGGACTCATTTGACGTAACTGGTTCACAACAGAATTGAGCTACAACAAAAAGGAATCTTTTGGAACTGTATGTTACATAATTAATATTGAAGTAGGTCTCAAATAGCTTATTAAATCCTGGAGAGAGAGATTCTCCATTAAGCCTATCCTCAATATTCAACAATTTATTGTCCAATATTCAAACACAAAAATAAGTAGACAAGCTAAGGACAATTTACCTGGAAAAAGCTGAAATTGTATTGATTAATAAGGCCCACATTGGCACCATCTACTACTGCATCAAATGGACCATGCCGCTGAAGCCACTCCTGATAAGTGCACCTTGTATATTAGTCTCAGAATCTTTTTATGCACTAATTGCCTGAAGCATACAAAGATAGCATATATTGGAAATGGACTATGACAACCAACACATCATTACCAGTATTTGTGACTTCCATTCAACAAAGAAAATAAATTTCACATATTAATAAGTGTTCATGATGGTAACCTCATAGACTACAATCATTTTCTTTACTAAGATGATAAAGATGAAGCATGATAATGAGGAGTAGGAGTATAAGGACTGCCTCTGTGGTTACCTAGACATCCAAATGTAAATTCAAAGGAGGCAACCACCTAAGTTTCCATCACCCTTGTAAACAAAATAACATATAAGCATGCTATCATCAGACCCCTCATTGCTTAGACTCATAGAAGGGCAACTCGTCTGAACTTAGCTTTTGCATTTGTCTACATATGTTTTATGTTTACTGTTTTACTAGATTACACCATGAGTTGAGTCCATTACGAGTTTTGAACTTTTACACATTAATCCATTGTCTTGTTCTCCCAAAGCTTGTCATGTCATAGTGCCCAATGTATCATCATCCCGTTTTATGTTTATATCTGTGCAACATTGTTAGCTCAATTTTACAAACTGTAGCCTATGCCTTCCTCCTTCTTCTTCTTCTTCTTTTTTTTTTTTTCTGTTACCCTTTTTCATCCGTTTGGGATCTAATCTAGAAGGATAATGATTAAAAGAACATTTTTGCATCGAACAGCTCACCATTTCTTTTTTTAAGTATACATATTAATGTCACACTGCATTTTCTCAATTTTTTTTTGCTGAAATTGCAGCACCATCATATAGTTCAAATGAGGTGCATTGCGACAACAACACATCAACATGAAAATGAATTTTGCTAGACAAATNAAGTATACATATTAATGTCACACTGCATTTTCTCAATTTTTTTTTGCTGAAATTGCAGCACCATCATATAGTTCACATGAGGTGCATTGCGACAACAACACATCAACATGAAAATGAATTTTGCTAGACAAATGTCTAATTCCCAATGGTACAAGATAACAAGTACCAAACAGATGTAATAATGCAGGCTTCCAATAATCCCTCCACTATCGGAAAATCATAACTTTATAGTTTTTGGTGAATTCATCCTTAGTAAACAGTCAATCTACAAAGACAAATTTCAAGAATTTGGAGATTTTACATGAGAAACCAAGATGAGATTTCTTTTGCNAATGCAGGCTTCCAATAATCCCTCCACTATCGGAAAATCATAACTTTATAGTTTTGGGTGAATTCATCCTTAGTAAACAGTCAATCTACAAAGACAAATTTCAAGAATTTGGAGATTTTACATGAGAAACCAAGATGAGATTTCTTTTGCCATACTACTGTACACATTATAAATTGTGCCAAACATTAACTGAAAGTCATAAATAACNGAGATTTTACATGAGAAACCAAGATGAGATTTCTTTTGCCATACTACTGTACACATTATAAATTGTGCCAAACATTAACTGAAAGTCATAAATAACCTGGCTACATCATCATAAATCAAGTGAATCCCACGGCATACTTTCTATTTGTTTGTATCCACAAGTAAGGTCCATAGCAGCTAATCAGAGATTAAGTACATAACCAGAAGTTAGCATCATACCTGAAAGTGCATAAAATCGGCCTTAGCCTCTCTTTGGCAAGCCAATGTGGTCAAAGAACTAGCAAAGTTCTCCGTCTCCCTAGGATCAATGTCAATACAAACAAGCTTCTCATGGCACGAATGGCACATGCCAGTCTCATCCATCTCAGTCCTCACCACTCTCCATTTTCCAATCCCCAACCACCCTTGCCCATGCCACCCACCTCCTCCCTTCACAACCCCTCCTCTCACCTTCTCCACATCCCAATTCTCCATCCCAACATCAGTGGCGCTCTCCGACCTAAACCAATCCTCCACAACACAAGCAGTCTCTTCTGAAACCTGCCTCACAGTAGCTCTCAACCTATGCATCATTTCATAAACTCTATCCACTCTTTTGGCCTCGGAACTAAGCTTCAAAAGAGCCGAAAGCCCCGGCTCGTCAGCCGGAACCCCAGATTCAGCCATGTGTGCATCGACTTCATATGCCTTATCAGCCAATCCCTTCTTGCAAAACCCAAACAATGCCGGTCCGTAGGACCTCAATTTCGGTGGAATTCCACTACTCTTCATTTGCTTCACCAAATCAAAAGCCATTTCTGGGTCTTCTTTAGCAGCAGCCAATCTAGCTGCGCTAGTAAATGTGGCCTCATTTGGCGTAACTTTTTCGATAACCATTTGCTTAAGTATTTCAAAACCCCTCTCCAAACCTAAATTGAATAAATCCTTGGCTTCTTTATCCTCGCCATTACTTTCAGAAGAGCATAAATAGAGCAAAACATTATAATGGTTGACGCTAAGAGGGATATTATTCCTTCTAGCATCGTCGTATAGTCTAAGAGCTTCGGCTAGATCGCCCTTTTTTGAGCACATGTCAAGCTTGTGTTTAAGCACGCTTTCTGGGGCCTCACGACGCGCTTTTTTCTTGGATTTGTTGGACATCGGAGTCGGAGAAGAGGAGGGTTTATCGAGAAGAGCCGATGCAGTACAGAGATGGGATTTTTGGGTCGTGGCTATAATATTAATGAATCGAGTTCTGGCATTAATGGGTTCGAAAGAATTGCAATAGTAGAAGAGATGAGAGTGAAAATGGGTCTTGCGGAAGAGAAACCGAAATTGGTTTTTGGTGAAGAGAGAGAAGACGGGTGAGGTTTTAGAGAGGGAAGGAGAGAGAGAGCTTAAGCGTAACAACATCAGAGCTGATATGGGTAGTTTCTTACCGGATTGGTTGCTGATTTTCGAAATTGAAACAATACGTACATATACACATATGGATATATACAAAAAGGGTTTTAACAATGTTCTCCAAACCGGATCGATTGGACCTGTAATAGAACCGAAAAGAGAACTGAGTAAATGATTCACTAATTAAAAAAAAATTATAAATATTATAAAACAACCGTTAGTAAACTATAAGTATTCAGTACAACCGTTAGTTGGACCAATCGGTCGAATCCATCGTATAATANTAGTAAACTATAAGTATTCAGTACAACCGTTAGTTGGACCAATCGGTCGAATCCATCGTATAATAATAAATTAATAAAAATTATAAATATTATAAAGCATAATAATTTAACTAAAAATATAAAACATGTCCAAAACCCCTAAATAATTGACCATTTACACACATTTTTCAAATTCCAATATCTATATACTACGTAACCAAACATGGAACATAGACACCCATCCACTCTCGAGAAGAGTAATGCTAGATGAACTTAAAAATTAGACTTGATAATCTCAACCATTGAATAAGTAGTAAGTCTCAAATAAATATTAGGACCCACAGTGAAATCAATGATTGTAATTATCAAATCTAATTTTTAAGTCTACTTTTTCAGTCCATCTAGCACTACTCCTCTCAGGAAACATGCATTGAATTCAAAAAACTTAGATTGTACGGTAAACAACCTTACATAAAAGAAACTGTCTTCGATCAATGAAATGGGTTTGAATATATCCCAAGAAATCACTGACTAATTAAGAAACACAACAATAAAATGGGACCCATGTTTTGTTCAGAAGTTTCAGAGGACTTAAGAGGCTTAGAGAGCTACTGTGTGTGCGTGTGTGAGAAAGAGAGGCTCCATTGCTCGTCACCCGAGTCAGACTGACTGACTGAGTAAGAGAGATGCAGCTTCGAGTAGAGGAAGAGGAGTAGCGCTGATTAGTTGCCTCCCTTAACTGTTTTTCGTCGCCAGAGTGGCCACTGAAAATTGAAATGGGATATCGACTACGAAGCGAAGTGATCTCCCTCAGCCTCAGATCCTCAATTCTGCGATTTAGGGAAAAATGGCCCAACAAAAAGGAGAATTTTTTTATATATATATGCAGTGAAATTGAACCGCTGGTTTTAAAAAATCATCCGATTTAGCAGTTTTCTTCTTATTTTTTTCCTTCCGCAGTTTAACTAGTTAAATCGGTCTGATCCACCAATTCGATCCGATTTTGGTAACACTTCCTTTATAATCAAAAAATTCTACTACAGTAGATTAGGAAAATAAAGGTGAAAGGAAAATAACTGAATATGAATGGTAAGGAGGTTTGAATTGTTTTTTTCCTTGACAAAAGCGTCAAAATCATAATGTTCTTGCAATGGAGAAATAAACCTGACGATATTGGATTCTATTGGATGCTTCACAAAATTGGTGAAAATGAAGTTTAGTTGAAATGATAATAGATTGAACTTTAAATTCTGAATTTAAATATTAATAATTTTTTAGAATTAAATTATGAGAAAATTTAATATTTTAAAATTTTTAATATATTTTTATTAATATTTTTTTAAAAAAATTATTATCTTAATTGTTTTTAAAATATTTTTAAAATATTTTTATTTTTCTAAGTACTCGAAAAAGAAATTTTAATTCATACAAAAATATTGAAAGTGATAAAATAAGTAGTGAACTCGAGACAATGTTTTTTTAAGCCTTCAAAGTATTTACCATTATTAAAAAAAACCTAATAGACTATCAAGCTATTATAAAAAACTTGAATTTAATAGCTTTTTCAATTACATGGGCACAACATTAGGACAGAGAGTTATGCAGTAAGGAAAGGCTACATTACCGCTATATAGAAAATTATAATTTTTTTAAGACATAAATTATAACTTTTAAAGGACATAATCGATTATGAAGTGTTAAAATTAATACCGAAAATTCATAATCGATCATGCAAGCAATTGCAGTGTCTCATTTCAAATGTATAATTTTACCATAAAAAATTGTAGACTTTCCCAAAGTACTCGGACAAGAATAGAGATGTCACAATTCACAGACAAGAAGCAAAACACAAACTTACTACTCTTTATCACATCTGAGATACATAAGTCCTTTAGAATCCAAAATTCCGGTATGGCCCGGGAAAGTGCTAGCAACAACAGAAAGGAAGTGCCCTAATGAAGATACCCGGAGAGGCGTATAATAAGTAGCTCAAACTAAACAGCTGNAACGTATAATAATTTAACTAAAAACATAAAACATGTCCAAAACCCCTAAATAATTGACCATTTACACACATTTTTCAAATTCCAATATCTATATACTACGTAACCAAACATGGAACATAGACACCCATCCACTCTCAGGAAACATTAGTCAAATTCAAAAAACTTAGATTGTACGATAAACAATCTTACATAAAAGAAACTGTCTTCGATCAATGAAATGCGCTTGAATATATCCCAAGAAATCACTGACTAATTAAGAAACACAACAATGAAATTGGACCCATGTTTTGTTCAGAAGTTTCAGAGGACTTAAGAGGCTTAGAGAGTTACTGTGTGTGCGTGTGCAAGAAAGAGAGGCTCCATTGCTCGTCACCTGAGTCAGACTGACTGACTGAGTAAGAGAGATGCAGCTTCGAGTAGAGGAAGAGGAGTAGTCGCTGATTAGTTGCCTCCCTTAACTGTTTTTCGTCGCCAGAGTGGACACTGAAAATTGAAATGGGATATCGACTACGAAGCGAAGTGATCTCCCTCAGCCTCAGATCCTCAATTCTGCGATTTAGGGAAAAATGGCCCAAAAAAAAGGAGAATTTTTTTTTATATATATGCAGTGAAATTGAACCGCTGGTTTTAAAAAATCATCCGATTTAGCAGTTTTCTTCTTATTTTTTTCCTTACGCAGTTTAACTAGTTAAATCGGTCTGATCCACCAATTCGATCCGATTTTGGTAACACTTCCTTTATAATCAAAAAATTCTACTACAGTAGATTAGGAAAATAAAGGTGAAAGGAAAATAACTGAATATGAATGGTAAGGAGGTTTGAATTGTTTTTTTCCTTGACAAAAGCGTCAAAATCATAATGTTCTTGCAATGGAGAAATAAACCTGACGATATTGGATTCTATTGGATGCTTCGCAGAATTGGTGAAAATGAAGTTTAGTTGAAACGATAATAGATTGAGCTTTAAATTCTGACATAAATATTTAGTCTTTTAACTAACTAAAAAATAAAGAAATTAGTCGGTGTGCGCATAAACTAACTTAACATTTCTAATCGTTGAATAGAAAAATTTCTTTCCCTTTTTTTTTTTTTTTTTGAAAATGGCTAAAATATTTTTTAATAAAATGAAATAATGATTAAATTAAAATATTAATATTTTAAATTTTGTAATATATTTTCATTAGTATTTAAAAAAAAAATTATTATCTTAATTGTTTTAAAAATATTTTTATTTTTCTAAGTACTCGAACACGAAAAAGAAATTTTGATTCATTCAAAAATATTGAAAGTGATAAAATAAGTAGTGAACTCGAGACAATGTTTTTTTTAGCCTTCAAAGTATTTACCATTATTAAAAAAAACCTAATAGACTATCAAGTTATTATAGAAAACTTGAATTTAATAGCTTTTTCAATTACATGGGCACAACATTAGGACAGAGAGTTATGCAGTAAGGAAAGGCTACATTACCGCTACATAGAAAATTATAATTTTTTTAAGACATAAATTATAACTTTTAAAGGACATAATCGATTAGGAAGTGTTAAAATTAATACCGAAAATTCATAATCGATCATGCAAGCAATTGCAGTGTCTCATTTCAAATGTATAATTTTACCATAAAAAATTGTAGACTTTCCCAAAGTACTCAGACAAGAATAGAGATGTCACAATTCACAGACAAGAAGCAAAACACAAACTTACTACTCTTTATCACATCTGAGATACATAAGTCCTTTAGAATCCAAAATTCCGGTATGGCCCGGGAAAGTGCTAGCAACAACAGAAAGGAAGTGCCCTAATGAAGATACCCGGAGAGGCGTATAATAAGTAGCTCAAACTAAACAGCTGAAGAAAAAATGCTGTTTATTGTTAAACCTAAACATATTTTCCTCTATATTTCGGTTTTGATTCTTTACTTGGTTTAGTATCACCAGTCCCATTGAGCAGATCAGCAGGACTGAAAACTCCAGAATGAAGATTTCCATCTTCTAACCACTTCAAATGGTTCTCCTTGAATTCCAAATGTTGTATCATAGCAGCCTCGGCAATTTCCTCGGTGTATGGTGCAATCTTCACCATTGTCAGTAATACCCTGCTGTACCGAAAACTTAGGATCTGTTCACAGGCAGCAACCAGTTTGAAACACGGGTGCTCGGGGAAATTGGTATCAATTGAATCTTCTTCTCTTAGTACGGGATAAAAGTACACCAGTCGGCCACCCATTACGAGCATCCTAGCAGCAAGGTCAAGCAAATCATGCACACACTCCGCTAAACTGTAAGCAGCAGTTGATGGTATGTGGTCTGTCCTCTTGTCATCGGGAATTGTATAAGGACCCACAACCCCTTTCAACAGTTTCCGCCCACCAGATTTACGTCCCCCAGCACGAACCCCATAAGGAGGATCACAGATTATGGCATCAAACATCTGGAAGAAACAGTTAAAATATTGAAAACAAATCAGAGCCATGTGCAAAATAACAATTTTAAAAAAAATTGTATCAACAATGCAAAAAGATTAAAAAGGTAAAAGGAAGAAAAAACGAACATACTATTTGAACATGAAAGGCAAATAATCTAAAACCCTAATCAAATGAAGACAAAATCTTTGTACAAAGCTACAAAAATTAAATAGCACCCATTCAGGAAAAAAAAAACTAGTCAACAAACCGGGGTGGAAATAATAGGCGCGCAATTAGAACCAAAATTTTTAATTAACATGATAAGGTGTGCGGGTAATTTTGGCTTTAGCTGAAAACTATTCATAGTATAAATAATAGAAAACAAAAGGAAGGAATCACAATGTTATATGCAAATGCATATTTAATTCATGTCTGTGCACATGGATAGGACCGTCAAAATTATTATATAACCTCAAGTATTTGGTTAATTTTGTTCACTTAGAATAGCATCAAAAAGAAGGAAGAAGAAGGGGGAGGCACTGCTTTTATTTACTACACAATCAGAAATGAAAATGGATTGTCAATGAAGATAGAAAACCAACATATACCAAAAGAGTAAACAGCTACGCTATCCGTGCTCAAGTACTTTGAAAAATAATGAGGAGAAGATTGGGCATCACATGAGTTGCAACTATATAGGTCAACAACCAATAGTGAAACTGAAAGCAAATTAGCTATTAAGCCAAAATATGTTTTATGGATAGAATGTCGGACAACTAAGAAACTACATGTTTGTACAATCAGTTTAGGTGATTAAGATGGATATGTAATAAGAAAGGATAAGATTGAATTAGCAATTAAAACATTGAAAAGATGGTAGATGCAGAACCAATTGAAAGTACACAGAAAGATAACTTGTCAGGATGGTTTGGACAAAAACAATAGATGGATGGACCACCGAGAAGAGACAAAGAGTGACATGATCATCAGTAATGAGATGGAATGAGATGGTGAATAAGAAACATAGCTTTGTGATTTAACCAAACATGTGGCCCTTGTTGACAAAGCGGATTGATGGAAAGGATGCATATAGACAACCTGAAAAATTGAGGCAGGGTTTTGTATGGTTTGGTGATACTGCAGTCAGAAACAAAAATAACACACCGAACAAAATGTTTATAGAGTTACTAAATTAAACATAAGACCAATAACAAGCAAGGAAATTAAAGGTACAAGAATTTCTGCTCGGACACAATATACTAAAGAAAAGTGAAAGAAAGAAAGAAGAAAGAAAAAACAGCACATCTGGGACAAGTACCAACATGGCAAACAAGAAATTACCTCTTTTAACCCAGAACGCCAAGGAGGAAGATTATTGTCTGCCCTTAACAGAGAAATCGGCATGGGTAGTCCATACTGCAAACAGCATTTACAGATAAGAATTGTTTCATGGACCAAAGCGAACAGACAAACATGACATTCCCATTCATTATTCAGTGAGAGAATCAACATTTACAAGTATTAATAAAATGAAATTGGCATGGGTAGTCCATACTGCAAACAGCATTTACAGATAAGAATTGTTTCATGGAGCAAAGCAAACAGACAAACATGAAATTCCCATTCATTATTCAGTGAGAGATTCAACATGTACAAGCAATAATAAATGAAATCTCAGATGCAATTTCAAGGAAACAATATTTACAGAATAGAACAAAAAAAAAGGACAAATGACAAATTGACCTGCTTGAAATTGCTCCAAACATTACAATTAGGGCCACGACCATCACGTACTACCCGAATGTCAATATCTGCACCCTGAACAATTTGCATTAGTAGATAGAGAAAGAAGGCTATCTGCATTCAAGGAATCACATGAATCGTACAAATATTTCCAAAGAAAAGTATCAATTGGGTATCACTTCTGAGCTTCAACAAAAGATAAAATATCACAAACCATTGTTATTGCTCCAAAATGAGCTGCAGAGATCAGAATGCTGCCAGTGCCAACAAAAGGGTCATAGACAAGTTTCCCTGGGGAGGCCTGTGCTTGATTGGCCATCAGAAAAGCAATTTCAGCATCCATAGCTGTAGGACCAAGATAAGTGCGACTTTTTAACTGATAGGTCGGCAAGAGCTTCCTATCAGCAGCCCCAATTTCTCGCCCAAAAAAGATTCTCTTTTGGACAATTGGTGGAAGCCCATTATTAGAGCCATAGTCATCAGTTTCCATAAGCCAAAACTTGTGATCCGGATTTCGTAAATTGACCTGACCCTGTAGTAAAATTACAGTCACTAGCAACAGAAATAGCTGAGAATTATATTAAAGCTGAATTACTTATGAGTGGGAAATGTAAGCTGGAAAATTATACAAGTCAGAGCAAGTAGTAGTAAGAGAGGGGGGCCTTGATGCATAAGTAACTTGCTCTTCTATTGTGACTAAGGTATCACAGGTTTGACTCACAAAAACAATCTCTCCACATACGGAATAAGGCTGCATACATCTGAGGCAAAGAGGCCCGTGCACTGAAAAGTCCTTTTAGTTTTAGACAATATGTAGTATCCACATGGACACTGGAGATTCTTATGTGCACAAAACTAATTTTTGGCTTTAATAGAATGATTTCTAGCTAATAGTGAAAGTCCTAACCACTGTGCTATATATTTGCAGCTTGCAGATGACAAGAACATTTATTAAAACTTCCGTCCAGAAAGATAAAATGGAAATCTAAGTAATTAAAGTATCCATTAGGGAAACTTCACGAGAACTATGCCAGCATAATGAAACTCTATTATAAAACAATTTCAAATATCTATTTTCAGATGGAAAGAAGGGAAAAGAATTAACGAGGTCAAGCCTATGCAAAGTCAGAGCTTCGGCATCAGTAATTGTGTGTTTTACCTTTGCCACTCTTCTCCATTATCAGAATCAAACTTAAATCAATATATTTATTAACACCGTTATTATTATTTCCCCATAANAGCCTATGCAAAGTCAGAGCTTCGGCATCAGTAATTGTGTGTTTTACCTTTGCCACTCTTCTCCATTACCAGAATCAAACTTAAATCAATATATTTATTAACACCGTTATTATTATTTCCCCATAAGATTATGTTAATCAACTATGGAATACTGGCCAAACAGCTACAAGAAGGGACAACAGTCGCGCGCCATTAGCATTTCTGTTCCCTTTTCACATCACAACCTAGCAGAGACTCTAATGCAGTCCATAAAATGCCCAAAGAAACATAAATTCAAAGACACAAAGAATTATGGAATTTCATTTACTATCTAGACAAAGACTCACATAGAACCTTACACAATATTTGGGTTAACCTATAATATTGGGTTTTAAAATTCTAGAATTTAGAATCCTAGTTCTAGTCTATATTAGTCTCCTAATCTAAAAGTGATTTAGAGTCNCCTAGACAAAGACTCACATAAAACCTTACACAATATTTGGGTCCTATTCTTCTCTGAAGAAAAAATGGATTATGGGAGTGTGTGACGATTACTTTCAGTTAGCTTGCTGGAATTTTTGTTTTATGCATCTTTTTAATGTTTTTTAGAGTCGAGGACATTTCATAATTTCTTGATTGCTGGAACGGGTCATCGTAGGACCCGTGGGTCATACTTTAGGTTAACCTATAATATTGGGTTTTAAAATTCTAGACTTTAGAATCCTAGTTCTAGTCTATATTAGTCTCCTAATCTAAAAGTGATTTAGAGTCCTTGAAGTCTTTGGAGTCATAAGTTTTTGTAGGACAAGGAATACTTGGAGATTTCTATATATAGAGATCTAATGCTTTAATTTTATGGGGAGAGAAATTTTCAGAAAATTTCAGTAATTGTATGCTTTGGGATTGTGTGACACAATCCAAAACCCTAGGTTTGATGCCTAAGAAACCCTAAGAGTGATTCCTAGTTCATTTCTTCGCGGTTTCTTCTACTATCTTCTAAATTTTCTGCAATCTTAACCCCATAATCAAATCTAATATCTTGTTCTTTCTATCATTTAAAAGTAGTCTACAAAAACCCTACCCCTATTCCAAACAATCCATCAAACCCTAATCCACAAAAGAACACATCTAACCCCATATTTACTGTTCACGGTACTGAGAAGCCATAGCAGCATAACAAAACATATCAAGAAGTCNGTTTTTCTGCAATCTTAACCCCATAATCAAATCTAATATCTTGTTCTTTCTATCATTTAAAAGTAGTCTACAAAAACCCTACCCCTATTCCAAACAATCCATCAAACCCTAATCCACAAAAGAACACATCTAACCCCATATTTACTGTTCACGGTACTGAGAAGCCATAGCAGCATAACAAAACATATCAAGAAGTCATACAAAGATCTCAGTCCATGTAAGGAATAACCAATGGAGAATGGATAAAAGACCAGAACAACCATGAATCTCATTCTGATAGCCAGGATAGAATATGTAATAGTAAAATACTAGAAGAATGGGGTCGTTCAAGAATGTAAAGAACTAAAGATGGTGCAATCAAAATTTGTTGCTCTTAGGAGGCACAAACTGATTAACATGGTATGCTTCGCCGTCTTCACCTCAGTACAAGAAAGAAGCAACTTATTCTGTACTAGAAAAGTTGCAACGTGCATGAAATATGACAAGTTCCATAGGGAGAATACTAAGACAATTGTTGGATAATATGACTTTTAATTGACAACTAGGTAGACAGGCAGGTCAAGATGGGCACATCTATCGTAGCACCATTTTCAATATCAGTACTGGTAAGTCTATAGATTCATGCTGTACAGTAATCCACTATGAGAAAAATTTGATAAAAATTCTCATTCAAACAAGACTTTAGTCACAGTTTTACAACTAACATCTTTATCATTATAAATAGCACAACGATCCAAAATCCTGAAATATTTAATTCTCACATCAATACACACATCTTAAACTTCTACCCCTCGTCCGTAACTTATCCAGATTATTCTTTTTTTATTATCCATTTCTAGGCTGCACCTAATTAAGCACCTGAAGGCAAGGCTCTAGTGCAAATGCAATCAACAAATAAAAGTTCAAGTAATCAACCATCTTGACCAGCAAGACAAAACATAGCTACAAGCCTCACAAGAAGGTTAATTTCAGCTACTGGATTTCTAGTAATAGCATATATCAAATATACATCCAAGCTAATGCAGGTGCATAATCACAAGCATGGGTGGAAAAATCAATATATCACAAAAGTTCTCATACCAGTCCAAATTAAGCATAAACTAAAAGAGCACTGAACCTTGAAAGGTATGTACGCAAGTCCCTGAATTCGATCATTTTGCTCCTTAGAGCTGATAACCTTCCCAAAGCAGTCAACTATAATCTTGAATGTGCTTCCAGGAGTTAAGTATGGCAACTTATGCTCATCCGGACAACACTTTATAGCCAATTCCAGTTCCTCATAACTACTTCCTTCTCCCCATAGTTCATAAATCCCCTTCACAAGAATACCTACAAATTAAAAGTCAAGCAAGGTTATTTTTTTCCATTTTGATAGTGTATAAAAGATTAATCTATTGCCAATATGGCATTTGGAAAGTTACATTTAAGGACTCAGGAAATGATGATGGAGCTTCAGCCTAAAGAGATCAATGGAAGCAAAACGAGATATAGCGCAGCATTAGCAAAAATTATAGAGAAAATTTTCACTGGAGTATTTCTGTAGTAAGAGGTTCACAGCTATTTTGGAAATATATGGGTCGTTGGGAAGAAACCCAACATTAAGTTAGCCTAGTGACACCTGATCAAAGAGCAAATAGGTCAGCCTAATAACACAGGTTTGCGAACTTGAATCGATCCCCAAAAAATATAAGACTTCACCAAAAACTGGCCAACTTAAAACCACTCAGTCTAGTACCCAGCTGACTGGTTTCGAGGATTACCAAACAGACCGATCCACTTCATTGACTGCTTTATTTTTCATTTAAAAAGGGATTAAACTAGTTCTGGAGGAGAACTCAAACAAATCGTTTCACCTGGTCTCCCCTCGAAAAGGAAAAGAAGAGACAAATGAAAAAGGATTTACATTACCTGTGAGTTAGTGAAACGCCTTCATTGTATAATTTGGTATACAAGATGTGTTGCTGAATTATTATGCCGCTCTACATAATGCAGATGTAACGGACAAAATTGGACGACAGTCTAACCATGGAAAAAGCTATAGTATATCTGTATATGACATTCTTGTCATGGAAATTGAAGAAAGCAATTTTAACTGTCTTTCGTGGGATTAAATACCTCATGGGGATTAAATACCTAGTGCTCGATTCTTTAGAACACTAAGCACATTAAATGAATGTTAATGAGGAGAGGACACAGTGAGCTACATACCAGTTCTGGTACAATGGTTAGTATGGATATGAGATATATATTTCAAACAAAATTACATGTCTTACAAGGAAAAAAATACTACTTTAAAGCTAGGATACCACCTTAAATTTCTTGCGTTGCACAAAAGGTTTTACAGTCGGTGAAAAGACTCAAGAACTTTTTATGATACAGGAAAAACACAAAGGAACGCAGAATAAAGCTCCATGCCAGAGCTCCCATAACTCGGACATCTGCTAATTCTGACTGAACATAAACCAAACAAGCCCAACCCACATAAAATCCAATAATGCCCGAATACTCATCCAAACAGAAAGCGACAANCAGCTACAAGCCTCACAAGAAGATTAATTTCAGCTACTGGATTTCTAGTAATAGCATATATCAAATATACATCCAAGCTAATTCAGGTGCATAATCACAAGCATGGGTGGAAAAATCAATATATCACAAAAGTTCTCATACCAGTCCAAATTAAGCATAAACTAAAAGAGCACTGAACCTTGAAAGGTATGTACGCAAGTCCCTGAATTCGATCATTTTGCTCCTTAGAGCTGATAACCTTCCCAAAGCAGTCAACTATAATCTTGAATGTGCTTCCAGGAGTTAAGTATGGCAACTTATGCNTCTAACGTGGTAGTTTCCCATCAGAGGGATTTCTATTTATAGATAGAGCCATTACCAAGGAGCTAATTCGTTCAGAACTCAGTTGGCTGCTTCTATAGATAAGGCAGAAGTATTATCATACAGTTATAACACAAGAACCACAGATTCTCTAAAAATGACTTGCAATCTCTTAGCAACCAAACAATAGTGCATACCATGAATAGGAAGATGAAAGAAAGAAGCGGAAAATAGGACTTACTACGACTGGCGACATTGCGGGCTATTTCTTCAGAGGGCAGATTAACGAAATGAAAAGGAGAATCAGGGTGGTGGTGTTGAGGGAGCTTCCACTCCAATGAATTCTTTGGTGGGTTAGTGTTATCTGTGTCTTTGAAGGCACCAAAGAGCTCAGCGAGAGATTCGACTTCGGGTTTTCTGTAATCCAACAATCTATGGTAGAACACGCACAGATACCACATCTTTCTCTTCTTCTCTTTCTTGTTTTGGCTTTGTCTTTCCTTCCACAAACCAACAAATTCAAAATTATCGATTGGTGGTATCCAATGTCAAGAAACGGTGGTGCGGTGGCGGTGGAATTTTAGCACGGCGGGGGAGAAGAGGAGGGGCAATCAACGGTCCCCAAAACCCAAAACCCTCAAACCGTTGGGTACCATTTTTATGTTTTATATTTTATATATATGTGTGTGTTTATCCAAAAAAAAAATGTACTCCACTTAAATCCATTAATTATCATTATTTTGTAGGATTTTCAAATTGACATTTTATTAACTTTCTTTCTATTTTCTCCCTCCTTTCATCTTTTCAATCAAGATCGGCCATTAGGCCTCAATTCAAAAAAATATCGCAAATTTATAGTTCTATAAAATAGTACACACCAAAGATTTAAATTTATCAATTTTTTTTTGATCAAAAAATTTATCAAAATTGAATCAAACAAAAAAAAAACTCAAATAAAATTTCAACTAACAAAAATATCTTAGATAAATAATTTGGCCCAAAAATACAGTTCAAAAACAAAATTTAATATGGCAAAAAAAAAATAATAAGGTTAAAAAAATGTAAAAAATATTCTACGTTAGACATCACTAGTCATTCTATCTCTCGCACATACACACACGTTCTCCCTGTAATTATACATTTGTTCTTATCTAAAATTAACACACAAATCAAACTATTTATTTTTATCCCTTCTCCCTTTTATTTCTAATTTTATATATATATATATTAAGAGTGCAATACTTTTCTAAATAAGATATAAAACATTAATCTATTGATTATCTCTATTTTTGTCCTTATAGNCATTTGTTCTTATCTAAAATTAACACACAAATCAAACTATTTATTTTTATCCCTTCTCCCTTTTATTTTTAATTATATATATATATATATATATATATATATATATTACGAGTGCAATACTTTTCTAAATAAGATATAAAACATTAATCTATTGATTATCTCTATTTTTGTCCTTATAGACTATGTTAGGGGAGAATCATTGTATCATATCTTAATTTCATAGGTCGCGACAATAAATTTAGTTTTATCATTTTATAATATTTAAATTTGTTTAACTCCAAGATAGTAATATTTTGTTATTATAGAAATGTTTAGTTTATTTGTAAAATATAATAATTAGAAAACAAACATTTGTATAAGAAAATTTTTTAAACTGCTAAAATTTAAAATAAAATAATATTAAATATATCTATCACTAGTAACAAACACAACATAACAAAAAGTTTAAGTTAAATTTAAATGAACAATANTTTTAAATTTGTTTAACTCCGAGATAGTAATATTTTGTTATTATAGAAATGTTTAGTTTATTTGTAAAATATAATAATTAGAAAACAAACATTTGTATAGGAAAATTTTTTAAACTGCTAAAATTTAAAATAAAATAATATTAAATATATCTGTCACTAGTAACAAACACAACATAACAAAAAGTTTAAGTTAAATTTAAATGAACAATAATAGATCTCAAAAAATTAGAAAGACTAGATTTATTAGTCACGTGATCAATTGAAAATATATGCATATAAAACTTGAGTGTAAAACTTGAATTATATTTATCATCTTGAAAAGAGATGATTTTTTACATTTAGAGTCGCTGTTATGAACTTCAAAGCGTATCAAGCCACCTTTAATGGGCTATTTGAGAGATTTGGAGAAGTAAATATCAAGTAAGAGACAAGGGTGATAAATAAATATGTGAATTTGTTTGCTAAAAATGGTGTACTTAGCCATAATAATTTATGTATATTTACAATTTATATAGATTGTACTNATGTTATAAACTTCAAAGTGTATCAAGCCACCTTTAATGGGCTATTTGAGAGATTTGGAGAAGTAAATATCAAGTAAGAGACAAGGGTGATAAATAAATATGTGAATTTGTTTGCTAAAAATGGTGTACTTAGCCATAATAATTTATGTATATTTACAATTTATATAGATTGTACTATTGAACAGTTGCACACAAATACACATGAATATAAAATAACACATATATTATGTTTAATATATATTTAATGTCTAAATTACCATTAAATAATTTTTTATGGTTTACGCGGAATTTTTTACAAATTAAAATAAAATGCATATAATATGAATTAATATAAAAATTACCTTTAATTCTTGTGCGTCATCTAGTGATCAATTTTGTCTNATGAATATAAAATAACACATATATTATGTTTAATATATATTTAATGTCTAAATTACCATTAAAATTTTTTTTATGGTCTACGCGGAATTTTTTACAAATTAAAATAAAATGCATATAATATTAATTAATATAAAAATTACCTTTAATTCTTGTGCGTCATCTAGTGATCAATTTTGTCTCATCTAATTGTAGGCGATGGTGTTGTAAGCCAAAGTTGTGGGTTAGGTACTTAAGTTAAGGAGCTTAAAGCGATGGAATAATGATTATGGTAAGAACAGCGAGTGAGTGAACAACAAATAACAGAGTATGGAGCGTTTGTAATATACTATGGGAAATGTAAGATAGAGATACGAGTTAGAAAATAAAGAAAAATATACGAAATGAAGTGGTTCACCAACTGAAAAAATTGACTAGTCCGCTCTAATAAAGTCTTTTACTTTTTTTTAAATATTTTCTATAACTTGGGAAAGAAGATAAAAATTATAGCTATTGTGATTACAATTTGTATTGTATGAAGGACTGCCTCTTGTATTTATACTCATAAGTGGGGTAGTTCTCATGTCAACATCAAATGATTCTCAAGTTTGTNCTTGTATGAGGGACTGCCTCTTGTATTTATACTCATAAGTGGGATAGTTCTTATGTCAACATCAAATGATTCTCAAGTTTGTTTCGAGTTTGTTAGAGGAATATTTGATCGATAGAAACTATATTCCATGGTGTGAGACGGTCTTCTAAAACATGCCAACATGGCCTTTTAGAACATGTTGTGATAACATCGTGACCTATCTGCGAGTTTGCATTCATTGTATCTTACATATATGTGAGAGGTTCTACTACTCGGTATAACCTCTTGTTCTTTTAGATTACTCGCGAATAAAGTAACTCGATTTATACATTTGACCTGAGCTGAAAATACTAAATTTTCTCATGAGAGGATATGGATGACCTAATCACCCTTGACTGAGGTCGTACGTGAATGACTTGATACTTTTGTTTAAGGTTAGATGTGTAACTGGAGGTCGGAGGTCAGACAATGTTATTGAACCTTGCTGCAGATGAGATACAGAGATATCCTTCTACTCATTTTTCGGTATAAATTTTGGTATCATTAATAGACCTATCAATCATATCATGTGAGACAAGGTTATATCGAGTCTGAATAGGTTTGTGTCAAAAAATATTTCACCTATATTTAATTCGTTTATTGAATCGTGTCAAATTGTATCATATCGGGTTTAAGTCATATATAATCGGCATATAAATGAGTCTTATCATATATTTTTTTTATTGGCTTTACTAATACCCTATTTATTTTTCAGTTGTTTCACGTTGGGTCTACTAATTTACCAAACTAAGTGTGTTAATGAAAACCCAAACGCTTTAATTTTGTGTGTTTTTCGTATGTTATAATATTTTGACACCCTTACCTACTCGGTTCCATAGACGGAGACTCTACGGCGAGGGACGCGTAGAGAATACAATCGTCGTGACATGCACAAACATTACATATCGATTCATCAGTCTGCGTGTTCTCTACTGGTACATTACATATCGATTCATGTCCTTTTCTTTCTTCTTACAGTTCATTCCGTTTCTATTGATTGTTATTATATAGGAAAAATCCAAAAAANATATCGATTCATCAGTCTGCGTGTTCTCTACTGGTACATTACATATCGATTCATGTCCTTTTCTTTGTTCTTACAGTTCATTCCGTTTCTATTGATTGTTATTATATAGGAAAAATCCAAAAAAACGATGCATTCAAGGTTTTTTCCTCCCAGATCTTTATTTGTATCGCAATTCGATGGTTATACAAGCTAATTTGTGTTAGGCCTATGGGTATCGATAAATTTGTGCAGGCAATTGAAACCTTGAGATCTGAAAATTCAGTTAGTTATAAGCTGTGAATGCTGCTGATGATAATTATTTTAATTGGACGTTCTTTAGATTGTTCCTAATAGTTGGCAATAATGATTTCAGAGACTCATAAAAAATACCCTGAATGTTAAATAAGCAGAGACAGAATTAGAGGGTTTTTATTTGGATTTTTTTGGTTTAGTTACTATATGATAGGAATTGGTTTGTCCTGTGGCCTTATTGCAGAAGATTGGACATTGGCAATGTGCAGATGGTATGGGTTTTGGTAGGTGATGTAATCAACTGTTTTTTTGCAGAGGTGGAATAGTATGAAGGGATCCGTAGTTTATACCGCTATGTTAGGGGAAATCTAATACGAATTCCCAACAAGTGTAGTGGTTAAAATATCGAGAGAGATGGGTTGAAAAGTTGAGACTTGCTTGAATAAGTTGGAAACTACATATGCCTTCCAGGAATTATTGGCAATGGCAGGAACTTGTAGATCATTGAGACGGGTAAAATTTGGGTTTTACCACTTTTACCCTATAATCGAATGTTGAGGACAAAGTTATTATGAGATGTAAGCATTATGTGAGTGAACTTAGCTATGATGATGTGCATTTCCCGTGTCTGTTTTATTGCAATTGTTCCATCTTGTTGACAATTAACCAGTAGGATTGCATGAGAGTTGTATGGAAACACATTGTTTGAATTATTTCAGCAGAAATATAATGAGTGTAGTGGGTTTGGGTAGGTGAATTTGTTATGAGGCATTTGAAATGAAGTATATGCATAATTCTAAAGGGAGTCTTTGTGTGGAATGGTTTATTGCATGGGTGATGGTGGGAGTGGAAGAAAGATCAAAGTATAAAATAAGCTGAGAGTTTGATGGGCTTGTTTTAAAAGCTATATTTTACTCAATGGACTTATATTTTCATGGTCATTCAAAGACATCCAGAGCCTTATATCCTGCTTTAAAGTACCTAAAATATACACAGTTTCCTTAGACGGATATTTGTATTGTGGGAGATTGAAAAAGGATGAGGGGTCTTATGTTTTCATATGGCTCGTAAAGTGAGATTCTAGAATCTCACTAATAAACTAACTTCTTTCTCTTTTTGTTTTTTACGCTCGTATAGAGTATTTTTTGCATTTTTTTCCTCTGATCATTGTCACTTCATGATTTAAAGCGATGCAAGAACATATTCTCTTACCTAAGCTTCTTCCCTATAAATTAGTTCCCCCTTCTTAGATGGTTCAGTCACGCCTGGTGCAACAAAATGATTTAGGATTACGATTGGGGCGAAATTTATTTTGTTCTATGTATTACGTAAGTATTGCATGACCGAATAATTCAAGAAAGGGCAACTAGTGTCTTGCCATTCTCATGATCTCATCCACTTGTGTATGCATTATTTGTAGAAAATTAGATTGTGCATTGCTTTCTTTTCCGTTCTGATGTTTCTTTTTGGGTAGAACAGAATTCTGAAACATGTCGGAGGACATTGAGTACCGTTGTTTCATTGGTGGCCTTTCGTGGTCAACATCTGATAGGGATCTAAAGAAAGCTTTTGAAAAGTTTGGCCATCTTCTTGAGGCAAACGTAATACTTTCTTGTGCTTAAAAGAGAATATTAGAAAATATTCAGTTGTGTGTTTGACAATGCATAGTTAATGATCTCTTAGAAAAAAAGGGCCTTAACATGAAGTCTGGAGGAAGTGTCAAATCGCTTTTTAATGAATAAGTGGAAAGCTGATTTTGCATTGCACTATAATTGAAAAAATTATCCTTAAATGCTATTTTTGCAACCAGAAAGCTTCATCACTGTCACTTCAATAATAAGATGATTCGGTGGGTTTTATGAGGACCCTACCATTATGTTTTTTTTGTAGTTAATAAAGAGAGGAATTTCATCACATAATGATTTGTTTTTTTGGAACCAAGTTATGTTGTCATTGACGCTTTGCATTTGGAATCATGGGCATTCAATCGACTTCAAATAATAGTTATCAGGGCTAATGGGAAAAATCAACATGGTGGAAGGTGGGTTTGGTTTGCTGATTCGCTGGTGGGTTGAGTGTTTGAATTGCTTCTTCATAAATGTGTGTAATTTTGACGGTTGTACATGAGCCGTGCTGAGCAGAACCTTACTGCGCTCAAGCTTGGGCTTGGATGAATAGAACACAATGTTGGATCTTGACTCAACCTTGCGTGATGTGTGGCTTTTGTTTATACTACTCGGCTCGTTGTGCATGAGGAGCTACTCTGCTCTGTTCGTGGACTTCATTATTTATAATGATTCGACACTTTCTAGGCCATTTGTTGTGTTCTACTTTGTTGGGAATATATTTTATTCATTACTTTTGATGGAGAACTTGGATCACTTCAGTATTTTATCCTTTAACAAGGCAGTAAGGACTGTTTTTATATTGATTAATGTGAGAGAGATTACAAAAAAGGCAAAAATCAGAAAGAAAATCTATGTCCTGGAATATATATATATATATATATATACACACACACTTTTCAGAATCAATGCAGTCATAAATGGGTGAAATTACACTTAACAGTATCTGTAATTAGATATTGAGAGTGAAATAAGACCAAGGCTGATGTGCTCATGTTTTTTGAGGCTTTATGTGTTTTTTTTACATTTAAGGGATAAATATTTGTATATCTTCAGTTTTACAAGGTTAACTAATGGTGATTGACGTCTTGGTGCTTCAATCTAAGCAAAATAATCAATTCAAAGTTTCGATGGGCTGGAATTTTGCATTTTGTGCGTTTCATTTATTGTTAGCAAAACATGTCATCCACTCGGTTTAAGCTGGNTTTCAGAATCAATGCAGTCAGAAATGGGTGAAATTACACTTAACAGTATCTGTAATTAGATATTGAGAGTGAAATAAGACCAAGGCTGATGTGCTCATGTTTTTTGAGGCTTTATGTGTTTTTTTTACATTTAAGGGATAAATATTTGTATATCTTCAGTTTTACAAGGTTAACTAATGGTGATTGACGTCTTGGTGCTTCAATCTAAGCAAAATAATCAATTCAAAGTTTCGATGGGCTGGAATTTTGCATTTTGTGCGTTTCATTTATTGTTAGCAAAACATGTCATCCACTCGGTTTAAGCTGGTTCAGCTGTGAGCCAACTAGTTCAACCCAGTTTATGTAAATAGTGGTTCTATTTATTGACAAAACTGGCTGATAGGCCATTTCCCAGTTCAAGCCTGGTTCCCGAACACCGGTTCACATGACTAACATGCTCGCTTGGGCTTTGTCAATGTTCTTGTGTGATGCATATATGGGTTAGATCATGTCATTTCATGTGTGATCTGTGGTTAATGCTTGACATTCACTGTTGAGTCTCTTATTGGAGAAACTGTGTTATTTGATATAGGCTGTTTTTGACAAGGCCTCTGAACACTCTTGTGGATTTGGGTTTGTCACCTTTGATGACAAGAAAGCAATGGAAGATGCTATTGAAGCAATGCATGAAATGGATTTGGATGGACGAACTATTACAGTGGATAAAGCTCGGCCAAACCAAGGTTCAGATAGAGATAATGATAGGGATCGACCTCGTGACCGTGACCGTGATTATGGAGGTGGTCGGTGCTTAGTTGTTTCCGTTGTAATATATCCTAACCTCCGAACATCATCCCTCAATGCGTATAATCTATGTGTGGAGGGGAGTGTCACTCTCCCTTGGAATGATGTCAAAAGAAAGGGCAACAAAATAGTAGTTGAATGAAATATGTGAACAAAAATGCTTTTTAAGCGCAAAGAGACTTTTGGTTGTAGTGTTTTACTTGGAGTTGTATTCCAAGGTCGTCTCTGCTCGAAAGGAGCTGTATCATCATGAAGGTGATTTTTGTAAAAATAAAGTGTAAAATTTTTTGTTGGTTGNGTGTGAACAAAAATGCTTTCTAAGCGCAGAGAGACTTTTGGTTGTCGTGTTTTACTTGGAGTTGTATTCCAAGGTCGTCTCTGCTCGAAAGGAGGTGTATCATCATGAAGGTGATTTTTGTAAAAATAAAGTGTAAAATTTTTTGTTGGTTGAAGGTTGGTTTGTGATTGTGATGAAAATGAAATAGAACAAATGTTGGCTAATCCAAAGGGTTCACTTCAATGAGAATACCAAGTCAATTCGAATCCTTCCTCCAATAGAGCATAGATGTACGATTGATTCGTGGGAAGTTAGGGATGAGATGGAACTGAGGATCCAAGTATAACCCGTGATAAGTCTACGGGATATCAAAGACTCACAGTCCCGTCCATCCTTTACCTNGGAATACCAAGTCAATTCGAATCCTTCCTCCAATAGAGCATAGACGTACGATTGATTCGTGGGAAGTTAGGGATGAGATGGAACTGAGGATCCAAGTATAACCCGTGATAAGTCTACGGGATATCAAAGACTCACAGTCCCGTCCATCCTTTACCTAGTCAAACCGCACCATCGTACTTTGAGAGGAGGAAAGTAAATGAGTTAAAATGACATACCCAAGAGGAGGTCTCCCTTGGATTAGCCAACTTAAAGGCTTAGCTACTCATGCTTAAGATAAAGACAACAATGTAATGAGAAGACATTATGAAAAATGAAAATTGGAGCTAAGCTAATGCAAAGAAACATAAACTAAGAGAGAATACATTTAATACATACTTTAAAACTAAGAATTTGAAATAAAACAAAATGTANGAAATGACAAACCCAAGAGGAGGTCTCCCTTGGATTAGCCAACTTAAAGGCTTAGCTACTCATGCTTAAGGTAAAGACAACAATGTAATGAGAAGACATTATGAAAAATGAAAATTGGAGCTAAGCTAATGCAAAGAAACATAAACTAAGAGAGAATACATTTAATACATACTTTAAAACTAAGAATTTGAAATAAAACAAAATGTACAAATATAACTTCCGGATGATTTATACATGTCCATCACTTCTTTCTAAAGAGTGAATGAGAAATTACTCACTCTTCATAGCTTTGGTAAAGTTAGAATAGTGAGTGATGCTCATCCCTCAAAGTAGAGGAATTATAAGGTAAAACATATTATACAAGGAGCCGATCTTCAACAAAGAATGAGTGAATCACGCTCCATCCTTCACGGCTTTGATAAGCTCTAGAAAAGTGGAATAGTTTCACTCCTTTAAGGGAAGAAGGAAGATCAAACAATGGAAGTAAAATAAAGCCATATTTAAAGTAAAAGAAGTAATAAATTAAAAGAAATCAATAATACAATAAAAGAAAACAATACTTAAAGTAAAAGAAGCAATAAATTAAAAGAAAGTAATAATACAATAAAAGAAAGTAATACTTAAAGAAAGCAATAAAGAAAACAATAATTTTTTGGAGGATTTTTCCACTACCAAAAGATGGATGCTTTACAAGTCCTAAGGGATGGTATTTATAGGCAACAAGGGAGGATGAAATTTTTGTTTGGCGGCTTTGAATTACACTTTGATCCCTCTTTGTTTTGAGCTTTAATAATTTACACCCTATAGTTTGTAGTTTTGACAATTGGCACCCAATAGTTTGTAGCTTTGACACAATTGGCTCCCCAGTAGTTTGTAGTTTTGATGCAATTGACTCCCAGTAGTTTGTAGCTTTGACACAATTGGCTCTCCAATAGTTTGTAGCTTTGACGCAAAAAATCCTGAAAAGAACAACAATTAATGCATTATCCCTTATTCATACACTAACCCTAATTTGACTAGTTTAACTTTGTTTAAATAACACAATTGATCTATTAACATAATAAAATTATACATTAATTAGGGTTAATCACACCCCCAACCTAAACATTATTAGTCCCTAGTAATAAATAACAACAGAACAAAATAAAATCACTTTCGTAGATAACACGATTGCATTTAGCATATGCAACAAGTCATTAAACCCCTAGGTGATCCCTAGTGGACGAGTTTTGTCTCGTGAAGGTTTCCAATGAGTTACCTACAAACTTTAGTCGAACAGATGTGTATGTGGGATTGCTGGTTAAAGTAAATTAGCATCATGGTCGTTGGGACACCTAACCCTCAATTTTGACTTACATCCCGCAAGCTCCTCTTTCATTGGTATTTATTCTATGCAAAAAATTAGCATTAGTCACATTGGCATTTATAATTCCCTGTTAGTAGGAATAGTCTTTCTAAAAACAAGAATTGTTACATAACAAACATTCCACTTTACCACTCTTCATGGATAGCTTTGATTTCACAAACCTCTCTTAGAAATGCCCTTAGCAAAAATTCCCTCCAATTATAGTGACTTGTCTCTCAAAGGACATGTGATCAGAGGATGACCAATCGAAAAATCACATGCACAGTTAGAAAGAGAGTGAAAATCTTAAGAAAGTAGATTAATCATGTTCTTGGCATAATCTCATGGAAGAATATTAATGCAATTAAAGAAATACTATTTAATATACCCCAGTTTTTCCGTCGACAACACACACATGCATCAAACTTAAGATCAATTAGGGCTTTGTATAGGTTGTAATGTGGCCAGAAGTCAGTGGCTAACGAAATGACGTCAATGGTATTCAAAAGCTATCCCTTTTTTCATTTAGTATAGCACACCTATTTCTTGCTTTTTGATCTTTTGCCTAGAAATGACATTTCTTTCTTTCATTTTTCTCATTTTTCACTTTCTTGGCAATTTTCTATTTTTTTGTTTATTTTCTTTCTCGGTTGTTCCCACCGACTTTTCTTTCATTGAACAATGGCCACCATCGTCTTTTATATTTTTCTTGCTTTTCTGTATCATACTGATTTATGAGAGAGTGCAAGAAAATTAGATAACAAGGTATGTCAAGTATATTCTCCAGTGACTCGGTTATCATATGAGTTTCTTGAAGAATAAATCATTCATTGAAGCTCATACATGACTAACTAGGGATATAATTTCGTAGAAGCAATGACTAAGGCTCAAAATCAAATCAAAGATGGCCTAAAATTCTTTCTCAAGTATGNCATCCCGCAAGCTCCTCTTTCATTGGTATTTATTCTATGCAAAAAATTAGCATTAGTCACATTGGCATTTATAATTCCCTGTTAGTAGGAATAGTCTTTCTAAAAACAAGAATTGTTACATAACAAACATTCCACTTTACCACTCTTCATGGATAGCTTTGATTTCACAAACCTCTCTTAGAAATGCCCTTAGCAAAAATTCCCTCCGATTATAGTGACTTGTCTCTCAAAGGACATGTGATCAGAGGATGACCAATCGAAAAATCACATGCACAGTTAGAAAGAGAGTGAAAATCTTAAGAAAGTAGATTAATCATGTTCTTGGCATAATCTCATGGAAGAATATTAATGCAATTAAAGAAATACTATTTAATATACCCCAGTTTTTCCGTCGACAACACACACATGCATCAAACTTAAGATCAATTAGGGCTTTGTATAGGTTGTAATGTGGCCAGAAGTCAGTGGCTAACGAAATGACGTCAATGGTATTCAAAAGCTATCCCTTTTTTCATTTAGTATAGCACACCTATTTCTTGCTTTTTGATCTTTTGCCTAGAAATGACATTTCTTTCTTTCATTTTTCTCATTTTTCACTTTCTTGGCAATTTTCTATTTTTTTGTTTATTTTCTTTCTCGGTTGTTCCCACCGACTTTTCTTTCATTGAACAATGGCCACCATCGTCTTTTATATTTTTCTTGCTTTTCTGTATCATACTGATTTATGAGAGAGTGCAAGAAAATTAGATAACAAGGTATGTCAAGTATATTCTCCTGTGACTCGGTTATCATATGAGTTTCTTGAAGAATAAATCATTCATTGAAGCTCATACATGACTAACTAGGGATATAATTTCGTAGAAGCAATGACTAAGGCTCAAAATCAAATCAAAGATGGCCTAAAATTCTTTCTCAAGTATGTGCCCATGTATGTGTCGCATGCAAAGGTTCCCTGTGGGATATGTCAATAGATCAATTTAGTTGCATTAATCAAAGTAAGTTTAATGAGATTATTCAAAAATTAAAAGTGAAAGAGCTTACTTGAGTAAATGTTGATTGTCTCTCAGAAAGCATCGTAAGGCTCAAAACTTACCATGGTATTCTTCATTATCTCCATTGGTTATGTTAGGTTTTCAAAAAATATCGGTTATATATCAATTCTATTTTCGAGTTTGGTTATTCTGTACCTTAAGAATAACAAATACCAATGTACATTTGACATTTAAGCATAGAGAAAATACCATTTTTCAAGGAAAGAGGCTTTTTTTTTGAAACTGACATTCGAACTCAAATAAAAATCAAAGTTATTTACATACATATTTGTATATGAAAATTGTAATAAGACTAAATGCACAAATTGAACTTGAAAAACTATGACGTCTCAGGATAAGTCCTCTACCCACGCTATTGGTTGGTATTTTAGGACATTCCTTACTCGGCCCACATCTTTATTTCAACAAAAGCTATTTATATTTTTTATAAAAAAGTTCGGACCATTAACCTTCATCCCAAAAAAACATGTTTTTCCATAGCTTTGTCAAAAAAAAAAAAAAAATCTAATCTGAGTCATCGCTTGTGTCTATGTCATTATTAGTGACCCTTCTAACTTCTTGTCGCACATAACGTGTAAGTCCCGGACGNAAAAAACTATGACGTCTCAGGATAAGTCCTCTACCCACGCTATAGGTTGGTATTTTAGGACATTCCTTACTCGGCCCACATCTTTATTTCAACAAAAACTATTTATATTTTTTATAAAAAAGTTCGGACCATTA